TTTTTTTTTTTTTTTTTTTCTTTTGCTTTTTGAATGTGATAAAGACACCTCTTCACCAAATGCCGTGAAAAATACAGAAAAAATCATCAAGACGAGAGAGAAAGAAAAAGAAAGAAAAGAGAAATTCATAAAATTCCATTATCCCACAAAGAGAATCTCTACAGAGAGAAAAAAACGTATAGGAAAGAACACGGGAAAAGAAAGAAAAAAAAGAAAATTCCAAACTATGTTCGCCATCCAGAACTCATCAATAAAAAAAGAAAGAAAGAGATTCGATTTCTTTCATATTCGTTTTTTTCTTTTTTTTTTTTTTTTAAAAAAGTTTCTCATGTGGTAATGCGCTTCAGTTTTCATATGATGCCATCGCTTCCACACCGCAATTCTTTTATATACTTCAAACAAAAAAAACAAAGAAACAAACCGGAAAATAAAAATAAAAAAAGAAGGCTTCATCCACATGACTCCAACGAAAGAAATCCGCATAAGGACTCAAGGGAGGAGATAAGTAATATTCCTACTGCCATCAGTACAGCAAAAGAAAAAAAAAAAAAACATGCGAAGAAAATGATTTTCACATGACATTAATAAAATAAATAAAAAAAAACAAAACATGGAGAAAGATATATATATATAAACTGGAAGTGGAAATGATTTTGTTGGGGTTTTAATAATATTACAAAGAACAGATGTCCAGATCATCTTTTTTTTTACTTCTTTGTTTGTTTCGAATGTGTGAAGAGAGAAATCCTCAAATGTGCCACGCCAAACAAAAACAAAAAGAAAAAAAAAGAAAGAAAATCCACCAACGTCTACAGAAAGAAGAAGGAGAAAAAAAAAAGGGAAAATAGAGAAATATGTAATGAAGTAGAAGAACAACAATACCACGTCATGGCGGGAGGTTTGGGCTCGACTACATAATAAAAAGCTTCTCTAAATAATTGTGAATGGGGGAAACAAAAAAAAGCAACAAACATAAAGAACGGATTTTTTGTTTTTTTCCTTGTGAAAGTACAATAAATAGCAACAAAATAAAAAAGAAAAAGAAAGAGGCATACCAATACAAGGAGTACGGAAAGAGAGAGAAAAATAAAAAAAAAAAAAGAGAAAGAATGGGTATGAGAAGAGCAGTGAAAGAGAGGGAGAAGATCATTATTATGAGATGAGTGCAGTGCATGATTACATTCACGATGATTTCCCTTCCTGCGTCTACCACTTCTCATTCTCAGTTTTTCTTCCAATATATGTACCCCTCCTCTTTCCTCTCTCCTCTCTCTCTCTCTACAGAAACAAACAAAGACAAACAAACACTTTCTCTTTCTCTCCATTTTTCATATATATATATATATATTTCCCCCATTTCGGTTTTCATTATCCCCTTGTTTTTAAACTAAAAGGGAAGGGAAATAACAATAGCAAATACAGTGACGAAAGAAACGCTGCAAAAAAAAAAAAAAAACAACAACAGCAATTATAACAATGATAACAATAATAATAATAAGAAAGAAACCTCAAATACGTCTACCATTACGACCTACTACTGTCTTTGTGGAGTTTATCTCTGGACGATGGACATATGATATATTATTCCGCACCGGACACACACCCAACGGCTTTGGGAAAGTACCACCGTTCATACGTACAGATATCCCACGTTTATTACTACCTCTTCTTATTTCTTCTGTTTGCGGTGGTTGTGGTTGTTTATGTTTCAATTTGGGATTTTTCTGTTTAGGTTGTTTTTGTGGTGGTTGTGGTTGTTGTTCTTCTTCTTTTTCTTCTTTTTCCTCTTCCTCTTCTTCTTCTTCTTCTTCTTCTTCTTCCTGTTGTTCGTGTGGAGGAGCATTCATAGACTCGGATGGTCTTTGGGTTTGCAAAGCATCTGGGCAATATTCACTCTCCATATCGGTGAGTCTACCGTGATCCATTGTGTTTCTCCTCTCATCCATAATCAAACAAGAAGAAATCATTGGAAGAGCTGTGTCCACATCCGCTACAGTTTCTACAGTTGGAATGATACTTCGTGAAAGTGTCGTAAAGAAAGGATGTTGAAGGGCTTCTTCTGCTGTAAGACGACGTCTTGGTTCATATAATAATAATCGGCTAATAAGATCCAGTCCATCTTCGCCTACAATACCCACAACACCATATCTTCTAAAATAATGAGTTAAATCACTTTTAATTTCATCAAGACCATCATGACTATATGTTAAACCTGTATCATGTGTATTTTGTTCCTCCGCAAGAGCATCCAACAGACCGGAATATTTTTCATAAAGTGGATATTCTTTCATACTAGGGAAATTACGTTCAGTTGGTGCACCCAAACGAGAAAAAATACACTTTAATTGTTCAGTTTCATTCTTTCCTCTAAAAAGTGCATTTCCACTCGCCGTCTCTGCAATAATACAACCTGCACTCCACATATCAGCTGTATAGGCGTAACATGTATTTCCAAGCAATAAATCAGGACTACGATACCATAAAGTGACGGCTTCGTGTTGATATTTCTTTACAGGTATTCCTTCAACACGAGAAAGTCCAAAATCTGTAATCTTAAGAATATACTTTTCTGCCTCACTTTGTATTTTTTCATTTATAATATTATTATCCATTTTGTCATCGGAGTCCGTTTTTCTACTTGATACAGCTTTAAGAACGATATTCTGTGGCTTTAAATCTCGATGAGAGAATTTCCTGGTGTGAAGATAACAAATCCCACGAAGTAAATCCCGCATCCATCGTCTATATTGATGAGGATCTGCAATACGGTTTTTGGGTTGTTTCTTCAGATAACACGATAAGTCCCCGGCCTCACAATACTCTGTTACCATATACACTACATTCTTATCGATTAACACATCATGTAGTTTGACGACATTATTACTTCCTAATGCCGGACCCTCTCCATTTCTTATATCGCCCTGCATGCCTTTCGTAACTTCTCTCAACACCATAATTTCCCGCATGGTGGAGGCGGGCATTCCCTCTTCTTTTGCGGCACACATCGTTCGCTTGAGGGCCACGACTTCACTGTCGCCCTGCGGCTTCACAACAGTGGCGCGGTACACTTCACCGTAGGAGCCTTTTCCAATCACATCCGCTACCGTGTCGAACTCATAGCAGGAGACACGCTTCTTTGTGTTGGTGGATGGAGTTTCCGATGCTAATGCCATTTACTTTTCTTTTTTCTTTTTTCTTTTTTTTAGGAATAATATCTCTTTTCACTAAACCCCAAGAAAAAAAGGGGGATAAAAAAAAATAAAAATAAAAATAAAAATAAAATAACTTTTTAACTATACTTGTTGGTCTTTAGTTGGAAAAGAAAAGAAGAAAAACAAAAAAGGCAAAAATTCATGGTCATCCATAGTAATAAAAAATATTATTATGAATAACAAAAAAAAAAAAAAAAAAAAAAAAAAAGGATCCGTTTGGCATAATCTTATTTTCTTTTTTTTTTTTCTTTGTATATATATATTTTTTTTTATCTGAATTTTTTCTTCTTTCCCCTAGTCGTTGATTCCCCATACATGTAGACTCAAAGAAAGAAAGAAACAAATAAAGAAATACCTTCATTTTCCCTACACAGTTCTTCTTTTTTTCTTTCTTCTTTTCTTCTTTTTTTCTCTTCTTCTTCTCCTAAACTCTCTCTCTCTCTCTCTCTCTCTCTCTCTCTCTCTTTAACCCTCAACAACTTCACCTGGTTGTTTCATACTGTCAAAATCATATGGTTTTCCGTGAATACGTTTAAAGAGATCCAGAATGTTTTCCGCCGCACTTTCAAAGTGTGTGGCTGCATCGTAGCTATTGCTGATGAAGCATTTACTTGTACTTCCATCCTCCACGGGTTCATATAAGTCCGATACGGAAATAAAGGTTTCAATAGTTTCACCAATCACCTTTAAACCGGGTTGGATATCCAATTCAGGGTTTGCCAAGTTTTCTACAGCTGTTCCAATGATAGCGATATAGAAACCTTCTGGGCAGACTTTATTATTAGCACCGAGTTGAAGGATATACATATCATTTCTGCGTTTTAGTTCTTTTTGTGGAATAATGATTTGACAGGAATTGCACTGTACCTTAAGATTTGGAATGGGATGATTCATAATAGCAATACAACGAATTACTTTACCACATGGTTTTACACGGTCTGGAAAATAAGAAGGATCGCCAAGAATAAATTTTGCATAAGCTTTTTGATCTCCACTTTCAATAGATTCAAACACACCTTGATCATTAAAGTTAACTTTACTCACAGGTGTTTGAAGCATATATGTCCCACCGTAAACCGCACAAAGACGAGAAAAGGCTTGTGGTAATTCCCCACTTCCATACAATGGATACACATACGGGGAAGTATCATACATATTAAAAGACTGTTCATACAGTTTACATCGCATCACAGTTTCAATGGCTGGTCGTTGTAAATAATCATCATTTGTGTGAAGTGCCACGGCATGACCAACAAAATCAATTGTATCATTCCCAATTCCGAATTCTTTATATAATTGAGACATGGTCATGGCTCGAAGATTATAATTTTTATGTGTATTTGGTTTTTGAGGATCATACGCACCCATGAATTGAAATAATTTTGCCGCTTTTCTTTTTTCAAAGAATCCCATTAATGGAGACATTAACGCTTCGGCTTCTGTGGCCGGTACTTTTGCAATCTTTCCATCCTTCATCACGAAGGAGTTGTCAATAAGCATAAACTCCATATTATAGCGATCCACCACAGTGGCTCGAAGAATCTTTACCAATTCCCCAGCACACATGAGGACTTTGGGAATGAGATCCACATTATATAAATGACTGCGTCCCAGTGAAGCGGGGGGAGTGCCTTTATTAAACTTTTGATATAACTGCTCAAGATTTAAACTGGCAGACTCACCACCGTAGTAGGGATTGCGGTCCACATGCAACACCTTATAGCCATTCACAGAGAGTAGTCCACTGAGAACACACTCTGTTAAACCTGTACCACAAACAATGGCGTCGTAGGTCTCCTCCATTTGTAAAACTCAAAGGGGAAATGGGAATGATAATATATACAGAATATATATTTTATATTTATATTTGTTTATTTGAGGATATTTGTACTAGTTGTACTCGTATACACTAAAAAAAAAAAAAAAAAAAAAAAAAAAAAAACA